TCCTATCAGAAAAGCTACTGATGAAGAAAATCCAAGCACTTTTACTGTCCTAAAACGTGATGACAGACACAAAAAAAAAATATAAAAATATAAAAACATACATCATTGTAAAACCAATACATTCATCGCTCCGCTCAGAATCTAAAATTGTGCCTATGTATTTTTAATATTTTTCAACTGATATTGTAATAATTTATCAGGATCCTTGTATTAAATTTTTACACTTTTTGGCCCAACCGATAGAACTTTATTGATATTTATAGAAAAAAAAACTAAAATAATTGAAAACTGAAAATTTTCAGAAACTGCTAATATAAACAACCAGTGAAAATTTAATTTCATTTTGCGTAAAAATTCCCGTTTTTCCTTAATTTTTCTTTTTTTTTTTCACGGCGCTTTTGAAAACTACTAGGAAATTTTTACTTTTGACCCCCAAAGTACCAACTAGATTCACTTTCCTATCAGAAAAGATACTGTTGAAGAAAATCCAAGAACTTTACTGTCCTAAAACGTGATGACAGACACAAAAAAAAATAAAAATATAAAAAAAAACACTCATATCATTGTAAAATCAATACATTCATCGTTCCACTCAGAATCTAAAAAATTGAAAACTGTAAATGTTCAAAAAGAGTCAAAATATTTTCATTTGCTTTACACCAAAAACCAAATTCGATTTTGTTGAAAATCGATTTTTCGTAAAAATTCCAGTTTTTCTTTTGTTTTTCTTGGCGCTTTTGAAAATTATTGAGAGTTTTAAATTTTGACCTCTCCAATGCACCAACGATATTCACTTTAAAACCGAACAAGATACTGTAGTTGAAAATCGAAGCATTATTTCGAATACTTATCGTGAACACAGACACAAAAATTAAAAAATTAAAAAATAAATATAAAAACACACATCATTGTAAAATCAATACATTCATCATTCCACTCAGAATCTAAAATTAAAACATTGGTTAGAACAAAAGTTATTTAATTTGTCAATTCTTCCTGTTACGCCCTGTTTTGCATAGTAAGTTTCTTGGTTTTTAAATTTTATTTCTGATATTACAATTAATATTATTAAATATAAAATCAATTTGAAAGAAGTTTGTAAATCTCATCGAATATTTTTTTAACATATTATCGTATTATGATGATCCAAGGCCGAATAATTAATGTAGATTAGTGTTCCCATGGTCAGCTAAATAATTAAACTATTTTTATTTTGCAATAAAAATGTTGAATTGTATGTACCTAAGATTCATGACTGCCTTTATGCGAAGCATACTACAAGGCATATTTATTATGGAAAAAAATTGTTTACTAAAGGACAATATTTTGTTAGTAAATGCTGGATAAATAAAGGCATACTACTAGAAGAAAAAGCATTACATATTATGGAATGCGGACTGTAGAGATACCTAGTTATATCTAGTTTGCAACGTAATTTTTACGAAAATTTTATTCAACTTTTGAATTTCAGAAACGCTTGAAAATATGTATTTAATGTATTTATGTAATATGTATTTTAGCTAGGTAATATTATAACAAAATATGAAAAACCTCAAAAATATCAAATGTCTAAAAATGGTTTAAGATTATGAGAATATAACTGTGTATAATAAATATGTACCTATACTGTTTTCTAACACATTACTAGTTATGTAACTACTCTTTCATCTGCTGCTACTAGAACTCAGCGTGTTCACATTTTTGTACTTTGTGACCATGAATCGTAAAAACAAAGAAGGGGAACTTGAATCATGGACGACTCAGAAAGCAATATGTAAGATAATAATGTTGTTGCGTGTTAGTTGTTAGTTGTTAGTACTATTATACCTTTTAACGATATACATTCTCGCACTCTCCTAAGTCCTAATACAAAAATGGTAAATCGAAGTAAAGAATTATAGTAGTTTACATATTTTATATCTTATTTATTATGCAGTGAATAATATATCATAATATTACGTTAAATATAAGTGGTAATAAATATAATTTTAATAGCGTATGGATGATTAATATAGGTAGGTACCAGCTGCTACTAGTACTTAATATAATATACTTTATACTATTTTTGTATTTTATTGGGTATATTGATTACATTTATTATACTTTTAGTGATTTGTATGTTGTTCAAAGATACTTACTACTTAATTACTTAAATGCTCATCGATAAGTTTTCAATTTATAATCATCAAATAATATTATAGTAAGGATAAATTTAGTTTAAAAATATGTATATGTTGCGACTTATGGGTAATGTTATAACATTAGTCATGCTTTATACATATAATTTGATTTGATTAGCTATATAGTTTTAATATTATCTGGATAGATAATGACGTTACCTTTAGCTAGTAAATTGTGGATAATGTTAATTTTTCAATAACTGCTAACGATGCACGATGGTAAATTGTATTACGATAATACAATTATTATCATATATAGATAATACATTTTATATAAATACAAAAGTCTAAGTGTTAATCTTAATAGTTTGAATATAGATAATAGAAAAGCACTTCTTATATCTTCTAATGTCTATGGGTTCGAATGTATGGGCATTGTGTATACAGTACCTATACTAATATCTAAGATTTAATCATAGCTGAGTGGAATTTTCGAAATTAATCTAATAAGTTAACAGTAAAAGTATGACATCAATATGGTTTTAATCAAGATTCGAGTCATGACGAACTATTACGTCAAAAGTGGAAAACACTCAGTAGTTTTTGTTGCGTAGGCAGGGAATAGGTAACCAAAAAAAATAAGAAACAACAAGGACGTTGAAGGGAAACCAGTTTTTGATAAAATTGATTTTATTTTTTTTTTTATATAATTCAAAAAATGAATAACCGTAGTTACTTTTAATTTTTATTAAGTGTTTATATGATAATTTTTCATACTTGGTAAATTTTTAAAATGTTTGAATTCTTTTTGAGGTTTTTTAGTATTTTTTCGTTTGTCTTTGATAAATAATTTTTCACTCGGTTAAAAGACTTTAAAATTTAAAACAAGGTTTCTTATAAGTAGTTAATATTGTAACCAAAAAGGTCTAAAAAAATATACCAACACAGTTTTGTTTTATATACATTTTAAGTTTAAATTTGGACAACATTATTTATAGATATTAAACAAAGAATAACGCGATGTTAGTTATTACTTATTTTTTAGTGTTGGCCAACGATATCGATAATTCGATATACGACATCGATATCGTGGGTATTTCCTAAATAATTTCGATATCGATATCTATATGATATATCGTCGGCCTAATTCGCAAAGGTCGTATGTCCAAAATTACAAATTGTTCAGGAGAAGAAAAAAACGTTTTACGGCCATATTATTAATTGGAGATACGACGATTTCTAATCATCAATTTCATGGAGGATAATATTATGAAATTGGAAATTTGATTGTATGAACAGACGCAGTTTTTTTTTCTTTATTTTATGAGTAAATAATCCCAAAATGACAAAAAATGGAGATACGACTTTTGCGAATCAGGCCGACGATATATTTATCGATATATTATTTTTATTATATCTGCAAAAGTAAATACTAAACGTAGATTATGATAAAAGGCGATATTATGTTCCAAAGAAATAACTCACCACACCAAACAATTTAATCTAAATTCAGTACCGGTTAACTCGCGGTGAGACGTAATTATTTTCGTTATTATTTTCGTAATTATTACGTTCGTTATTAATTTTATTATTTATACAAACAAAATGAATGAATAAACTTTAAATTAGTACCGTTGTCTGGTGCTAGAAGTGATAAATGGCAACATTTTGGTTTTAAAGTTAATGAAAAGGGGATTATATTAAATAAAAATCAAGTTTTTAAAAAGTGCAAATGTGCTGTTGGTTATAGTGGAAATACGACTAATCTCAGTTTCAGTTCTGAAACATTGATGGAAAAACTGCTTGAAGAAGAAATCTTTTGATTAAATACATTGGATACTTTTCAGTTTGTACAAAATAATTTATAATTGTTGATTAATTTACACTCATAATATATTAAAACAATATGTATTCTATACTTTTAATATGCTTCGATATCGATATCGGTATTTTTCCAATATCGCAATACGATATCGGGGAAACAATTAATATACGATACCGATATTGAAAATTATATCGTTGGCCAACACTATTATTTTTATGTAATTCGACGACTTTAAATACATTATTCTAGAGGACTCATAAAATTATATCAATCTTTACTATACACAAAACCGTTTATAATATATTTAGATTCGTTTTAAGTTATTGCCTAGTTATACCATGAACTCGAGGATTAGGTAGTATTAATAATTATCTCAAAATTGAAAAACTGTATAATATGATAAAAATATAGGTAGACTACCTATTATAAATTATAATACTGAAATAGGTATAATAAATTCAATGTATTCTGCAAAAATTATACCAATCTACTAAAGTAATACTATTATAGCAGGTACCTATAATAAATTACTTTAATATAGCAAAATCGAAAAATTTCAAATACATCATGAAATGATGAAAATATATACTTGATAATAGTTGATATAGATAGTACCTATAGACACACAGACCGTCTTCGTTCAGAATCGAATTTCGTATGCATAATGATTTATCACTGAATTCAAATTTAACACTATGACAGTGAATTACTTCTCAATTATGAAATTTAATTTGTTGATAGTAAGTAATAGGTCAAGCCGTGGCGAATGAATTTAGAATAAAAAAACAAAATAATAATAATAATTACTTATTTAATAACAGTTATCTAATACTAATACTACCCAAGGATATCTATATAGTATCTATATCCGTGCTCCTATTACCTAATCAAACTGATTTTTATTTTCAGATTTTGACTGTAATGAATATTTACACAGCCATTGCCTACACTAAGTTCAACATGAATTTACTATTATAATTAATAACTACATATGTACACAAGCTGAGTGTACATTAATTTTAAAATCAATCGCTTAGAATTCACCTCCGATAAAAATGAAAAAGGCGTGTAGAATTGTATTAAACTTGTATTTATTTATCGGATGCATTTTGAGCTGCTCGGCTTCTGATACGCCTAAAGTGCATGTCAACTCTGGAGAAATTTCAGGTGGATATCAATATACATATAATGGTCGTAAAATTTACTCATTCGTAGGCATACCGTACGCAAGTCCACCAATCCAAGACTATCGATTTAAAGTATATTAAGAACAATTTTTATATCTATACGAGACTATTGAAATTTACAACACATTGAATATTATTTTCGTAGGAGCCACAACCCTTAAAGCCTTGGTTGGGCATATGGAACGCCACCATTCCTGGAAATGCCTGTTTAGGACCTGATTATAAATCTAATTTTAAAATTATTGGTCAAGAAGATTGTTTATATCTCAACGTTTATACGCCAAAGGTAAGTAAATGAAAAATACTTTTAAATAGATCAATCATAAATTATTGTTTTATAGTAGGTATACCTATATTATGCACTGTTTCTTTTTGTGTCTATAAATATTTAAAACACTGAAAATCTATAGGTACTCAAAACACTTCATTAATTACATAAACACTAATAATTCGAGCTATGTACTGTAATTGTATTACAGTAAAGTAGGTATATCATTGTTCTTAAATCTATATCCTAAAAATGGTGAATACCCAAACACCCGAATACGGCATTGCAATGATTTAGGTACATTAAAATATGATTTCATTAATTAAACAGCTTCCACAAAAGGGTGAGCCGGGAGATTTAATGAATGTAGTGGTGTACATACATGGTGGCGCCTTCATTGGAGGCGAAGGCATTACCTACGGTCCACGATACCTTTTGGACATCAACGATTTCGTTTATGTATCTATCAATTATCGTTTGGGCGTATTAGGATTTGCCTCCACTGGCGACAGTGTTTTGCCTGGAAATAACGGAATGAAAGACCAAGTAGCAGCATTGAAATGGATACAACAAAACATCTTTGCGTTCGGTGGTAACCCCAACAGTGTCACTATCACCGGCATGTCAGCTGGAGCAAGTTCTGTTCATTACCATATGATTTCACCTATGTCTAAAGGTATGTGCAGTGAATGTGTAATCTACAATGTTATATTAAACAACTAAAAATTACATTATATTATATACCATATCAGTTATCGTAATCCGTAATACATAGTTAAATTATAATTCGCACAAACAACATTTTATAAAATCCTACGTATATATCTGGTCTTTAGTTATAATTATAGTTATAATTACTTTAAGGTATATAAACTTATAAATATTTTACATTTTAAGGCTTATTTCATCGAGCAATTCTTCAAAGCGGGAGTGCTTTTTGTCATTGGTCGTATGCTGAAAACGTTGATCAAAAAACAAAGTATATTGCAAGCTTGCTGGGATGTCCAACAAATAATTCCGTGGATATTGTTGAATGCCTTCGTTCTAGACCAGGAACGGAAATTGCAAAATCATTTTTACACTTCATGGTAAATATTGTATTGATTATTAAATAACAACATTTAAATTTCCTCAACTTGTATTTTATTTACAATTTAAAACATAGCCATGGAAATACAATCCTTTTTCACCGTTTGGTCCAACCGTTGAAGTAGCAGGAGACGAAAAATTCTTACCCGATATGCCAGAAAAACTCATTCCATATGACATTCCAGTGTTGATGAGTGTTAACCAAGATGAGGGTCTTATTATGGCAGTATTCATTGTCTACGAAAATGGTCTTAATGAACTAAACAATAATTGGAATGAATATTTACCACATCTCCTTGATTATAATTATACTATTTCAAACGAGAATCAAAGAACCAAAGTTGCCCAAGATATAAAAAAGTTTTATTTTGGTGATGAAACAATATCAAAAGAAACTATAGGCAATCTTGTGGAAGTAAGTTACACTATAAGTGTAGGTACATAGTATATTTAAATAAACTTTGGATTTTAATATTTAATAATTTTTTTTAAACAAATAAGCTTATTATTCTAACTAATTAACTTTGTTTTATAAATTTACTACATATTGATCAAACCCATAACGAATTGACAAATACACAATTCACGTGATTTTTTGTTTTCTTGAAAAAAAGGAATATAAGCCAGTCAACATTTATTTTAAATTACTACCTACTTTGTTTTGTTTATTTAAGAACAAAAACATATTTTTATTATTATGAACAATTTATATTGTAGGTATCCGAAGCTGGGTAATTTGCCGATTAGTAGTATTAGTGATTGATTTTTATGTACACGCAGTTCATTCTAACAACAATTTGGCTTATTCTCGTATTTTTTTATTGTTGTTAGTTGTTACGTCCTGTCGTGGACGAAAAAAAATGTGATAAAAAAATACAGTAATGAGAAAACAATATGTGCTTAAAATATTATGTCTTAATATTTTTGTATTTTTTGATTTTTAAGTCATATATGTTATGATTTTAACATAATTTATTTATGTTTAGTGATTATTTTTCTAATTTTAAATTGCATAATTGCATGTATATTAGATTTATAAAAATTGTTAGTGCATTAAAATCGCTGCACTTTTTATTGTATCCACTTACATGGGTAGTAGATACATTTATTATATTATCTTGTGACAATCATTAAATAACCTAGTATCAATATGCTTCAGATGATTTCAGATAGAGTGTTTGGATATTCTGTGAGTAAAGCAGCTCAGCATATTGCTACAAAGAATACAGCTCCTGTATATTTCTATGAATTTGGATACAGTGGTAATTATTCGATCTTGGCTAGTTTCAATTCAAAATCATATTCCCGAGGATCAAGTAATAAATAATATATTTTAGATACCTAATGTTTATTTGTATTTGTAATACATAATAATATTATGTTAATTCATTATGACTAATAAATTATTAGACGTAACTCATTCCGACGATACCGTTTATGTGTTGAACATGAATGATTCCCCTGTTCATGACAATGAAGAGGACACAAATATGATCAAAACTATGGTTAACATCTGGGCAACCTTTATTAAAAATGGGTAATTATCTACATTTCATCAATGATTGTTATAAATATAAAAAATTTAAATATAATGTTATATTCAGTCTTGTAAAAAAATACTTTTGAAAAAGTATTAAAATACTAATACTAGTATTCGCATAAAAAAGTATTAAAAATACTTTTAAAATACTTACATAAAAATGTATTTTACGAATACTCACAAAGTATTTGAATACAAATACAAGTATTTTTTTAAATTTTACACCTTATAGTAGCTGTTTCCAAACATGTTTATTAATAAATATGAAATAACTTACAAATTAGGTTAACAATGTAGCACATACTGCTCATATTAGGTATTATCAATATATAATTTAATATCATAATATAATTATACCTAATATAGTAATATATACTTATAATTTATCAATATAATAATATATAATTTAGCATCATTATATATTTATGGTTAATATAATTTAACATTCGTATAAATCAAATATTATACATTTATACAAATATGAATATAAATTAAATTTCTATTCAGAAAAAAAAACTAACTGTAATAATGAAATAATATTTATGTTTTTATTAAAATTTGTTTCACAATATTCAATAAAAATTTTATTTAAAAAAAAAAAATTAAAATCTGTTATTATTTAGAATTTAGATAATTTTAGAATTACTTTTCAATAACATGGTTTCTTCAAAATTAGAATCGCTCATCTTCCCTCTTTTTTTTGTTAAAATACAGGCTCCTATACTAAATACCCTTTCAATAGGTGCACTTGAGGGGAGGGGAGTATTATACTTTACAAAAACCTTTTTTAAAATTGGAGTATAATTTAATACGTTGATATTTTTAGTTTGACTCTTGTTGAGAAAGTCAGCAATTTCATTTTCAACTAATACAATTTATTTATAATTAGTTTATAGTATTTAAATACAAGTATTTACATTTCGTTATTCCTAACCTAACTGTATTCTAAATTTCTATAAAGACGTATCATAAATATTTTTTTTATACTCTAGGTAGGTATTTATAAATAGTTATCCACGAGACAAAATAGGTCAAAATCATAATGTTTATAGTTTTATTTTTATTGTTTTAGAGCACCGGATATTGGAAATTCTGAAATTTGGTTACCCGTTTCTAAGAATCCAGTAGATCCTTTCAGGTTCATTAAGATTACTCAACAACAAACTTTTGAAGCCAGAACACAATCGAACCATCGAAATTATGCATTTTGGAGTAGTTTACCACTAACAGAATTTGATGATGTTAATGTGCCGGAAGACATAAAAACTGAATTATAAATAATTAATATTAAGACAAGACGTTTATTACAATAATACTATTTTTAAACATAAAATATTTATTATTATTATTATTATTATTATTAACGCTCAGTGGGCAAATAGTAGGTACGGCCGTACGGGACATATAATAAGTATTAATATATAGGTAGATACAATCAGTTTACAAGTTAAGTACAATATGTGGCGTAGAGAATTTACATCGTTGAATAAAAATAACCGAAATTATTTGGTAATGGTCATTACTCATTACTTATTACAATTAAACACATTGCGATTTATTGAACTATTTAGAATTATTTAGGATTAGGACAAAATAGTGTGTACAGACACAGGTTTCAATGTGGAATGTATTTTTTATGCGAGTGTTCATCTGTAGGACACGAAAATGAATCTTGTTTAGCAATAAAATTTGGGACACACTTCTTTACCGTTTAATAATTTCTAGAGAGAAATAAAATATCATTATAATCACGTCGATATGAGAGGGATTTAAGCAGGGGTGGACTTACTGGGCTGGCGCGATACCGGGAACTTTCCCAGTGGCCGTTACTCAAAATTTATAAAATCGGTATAAATATAAATTATGAATATTTTGTATTTTCATATCATAACGCGTGAGTGTGAAAAATTGGTTATAACTAAGGCTCGGGACTTATTGAATTTTCATATTTTATTTTGCTTTAATTACTAAGTAAGACAGAAATTTGTTTCAAGTTGTAACGAGTTAAAATATATCAAAGAAAAATTGCATATTTTTGCATATTTTGAGGTTTTAATGAAAACACGCATTTTTTTCACAATAAAAATTTTTTTATGCATACAACATGCTATATTTTAAGTGAAAGGTTGAAATGGGGAACAATTAAAAATAAGATTGAGTCTGTTTTTATCAAATATAAAGGCTATATCAAGCAGTTTTAAAAATATCAGAGATAATAAATGGAAAATAAGACACAGATGGTATACCTGAAGATTGAATTTTAAATGATCTCACGTGTATGAAAAACTGTCCAATAACAACAGTTGACTTAAAATGTCCGTTTTCAGCGTACAAATATTTACTCACTTCCAATCGAAAATCGTTAAAATTCGAAAACATCAAAAACACTAAACAGTAAAAATAGGTAACTACTTAAAGAAAATTGTTTTAACTTTTCAGGGCCAGAAAACACGGGATAAAACTTTTCCGAAAGAAACTCAATTGAAACTTTTAACTATGTATAGTGTATAAACGTACAAATATTAATTTTTATTCACATTTGTATTATTTAAATAATATTAATTATTATTTAATAAATTACATTAAAAATAAAAATAATAATTGAATTTCACATTTCAGTGCATATTTTCGTGCATTTTTGACAATATTTTAATGCATTTTAGCATGCATATTTTCATGATTTTCAATGCAACAACTTCCGAGCCCTAATTATAACTTATAACTTATATTAGGTGTTTGAGATATTAGATTTCGTTTCGGCTGATTGTCCCCCCCCCCTCTCGCACGAATACATTATCAGAAATTATTATTTATAAATAGGGCGCAGATTTAAATTAAAATCACATTTTCTTAAAAAAAAATTTTAGAGCACTTTTTGACGTTTTTAGGACATTTTAATGATCTGCAGAAGACTTTTTTTGTAAATTTTATAAGAATAAATACAATTTTATAAAAACTTATCTACCTTCAATTCTTTCACAAAATAAAATGTACCTAATATTATTTTTTTACTAATATATTCTATTTTTATTACGTATTATGTTCACTACTATGCATAGTCACAAATCGGGGGAGGGGGGGGGGGGCTAAGCCCCCCCCCCAAACCTGAGAAATATAAATTGAATATGCTATATTGCAATATTCTGCTTGCCTTTAATATATTCAGCCCCCCCCCCCAAGTCAAAAGTTGAAAATGCACCTATGCTCCTATGACTTCAGTTATGCAAAACAACACTTGCCAATAACTGTCTTAGTTTTTATCTGAAAATATTAAATAGCATTTGATTGACCAGTGCTATGAAACCAGTATAAATATAATGAAACACAAAATATAACGAATATATAACTATCTAAATTTTATTCTATATTCATTTAAATTGGCTTTTAATTTTTCAGGGCATTTTATTAAGTTTTGTTATATTAGTGCATTAAGTCTTATTTTTTTAGGGGTTTTATTGTTTTTTATTGCATTTAAATCCACTGCCTATTTATAACTTAATCTGACGTTTATTAGGTATACCAATCGACAAGGCTGGGCATTAACGAGTCAAAAATTAAAATTAAGTTAATTTTAATTAAGTTAATTAACTCGTTACTTTTTTTTTCAAATTAACTTTTAACTTAATAAGTTACTTTTTTTCAAGATTAACGTGTTAACTTCAAGTTAATTTTATTTAAAAAATTAATTTAGAATTAAGTTAATTTTCTTCCGAAGAATAATGTAAATTTTTTAATGTGTTTTTACTTTGATGTATCATTTTAAATTTCCCCAGTAATTTTCTTAGACGTAAAGAAAAACTATCTAATAAACCACATTATGTGTCTGGAATTTTCTATTTTTGCAAATTAGCAAATTTTAACTTTACACTAAGTTAAGTTACTTTTTTTTCAAAGTTAACTTTTAACTTAACGAGTTTACGATAAAAAATACGAGTAACTTTTAACTTAACTTAACTTAATTATTTTAAAATAACTTAACTTAACGAGTTAAAAAAAAACATTAACTTGCCCAGCCTTGCCAATCGATTAATTTATCCATGTCTAGCCAGCGAGTATTTACTTATTATTACTTTAATTTTAATACCTTGTAACGTGCCAACCACTTCAACTCAATTTTGATTGTATTTTGAATAAAATAACTAGTTGATGGTATAATGATAGTTTATTTGTATTTATTTAACACTTAAAATAGTCTAAGTCCAAATAATTAATTCATAATAATGTGGTAAACGAGATGTGACTTAGTAATTAGTATCGACTTGGTTGTTGCTCTGCTGGTGCTCGTCTGCTCGGCTGGTGTTCGTCTGATGGACACTTGTCCATCGACGTATCTCGTCGGTATTCCTAATAGATCCCTCCTATGGCATTTTTAGTATAATAATGGTACACGCGCCACATCCGCCTGAGGTCATTTCTGACGTCTTTTACGAAAACAATATTAACTACTGATTAAATGTTCCCTAGAAACATCCTTTCCTAGAATATGGATATCGCGCGCTTATACTTATCACGTGTTCTTATTGATGTGGCCGTCATTAATTAGTTCTCTTTAATGCAACCGCTCGGATACTGATATTATTACTATTACCGGGGTTACGTGCTCCCTGTAGCATTTACGTCTATTGTTGAACATAATATATATATTATAATCGTACTTTACCTAATACAATATATAATATATAATATATTATTACTATTATTAATAATATATACGTAGTCACAGCTCGTTACAACCTAATATATTGTACACAATAATATCTTTATATTATATAAAAAGGATAAGGTGACTGACTGACTGACTAAATTAAATCTATCAACGCATAGCCCGAACCACTGAACGGATCTGACTGAAATTTACCATACAGATAGCTATTATATGACATAAGCATCCGTTAAGAAATTTTTTTTGGAAATTTAACCTCTAAAGGGGTTGTAAGAATAAAACAGTGACGCCATCTATCAAGCAAATTTAAATATATAACATTAGTGCCAAAATACAAAACGTACAAACTTGATATTTGGAATAGTGGTTTCTCTAATTATTTAGATGTGCAATAAGAAAAGATTTTCCGATATTCGCATTTTAAAGAGGTGATCAAACTGCAGGAATTTGAAATTCACGGTGGAAATTGAAACTTTTTTTTGTTTATAAATGGTTGCCATTCATTACAGACTATAATGGTAATAGTGGAAATTAGTATTAATTTTTTTTTTTTATATAAATGGTATTGCAATTGGTTACTAGGACAAATCAGGTACAAGCGTTAAGCATGAATCAAAACTATTATCACACAACTACACAAGTGCCATATAAACACAAAAAGCACTTAATGTTACCCATACTTATCTTTAATTATTTTATTTTATCTTTGAAATGGTTGTGTTCATCTAGACACTTTTACAAGTAAACATATTCCGTTCAGAGTTTAGCTCTATGACGTCACACTCATATTTTCAAACGCCTTTATCCCATTGAATAATAATTAGTGTTTAAGTGTGAGGCCCAAACCATATTTCTTAGATGATGTCATACTTTAAATCTAAGAAAACTTGTTTTTAGTGTTGTGATGTCCTTTAAGACGAGATAATAACACTTCATTTTTTAACTGTATCATAATATTAAAAGCTTGCGTTGTTATCCGCCGTTTACCGCAAACACTGCAGCCGATAAATAATAATTTACCATGATAAAATATCCACACTGAAAAACCGTCTCTGCTCAGAATCGTTTTTCGGACCTTTTTTTTTTTTATTTTTTTTGGTTTTTAGTAGCTGTTCAGCATTGGTCGGTAGGTGCCCCACTGTTTTTTATTAAGTGATTTTATTTTTCCTCAAGAACTCTTAATGGTATTAGTATGTGGCTGTGTGAGCCAAAGTGTGTTAGTGATGCCCGCGTTGCGCTCGGACAAAAAAATCAAAAATATTCCTCGACTTGCTTTGCAACACCACTTCAAGTTGGTCACAGGGTAACCGTCGTATATCTACTCTTAATATGTATTATACGTGTTATACGTATACCACTATTTAAATTGAACAGTCGTTACAAAATTAAAGTCGTTATTAAGCGTGTGGATCAACTGAGGTGGTGTTGCATATAGTAAGTCGGGGATATTTTCGATTTTTTTGTAAGAGCTCAGCCCAGCGAGCGAGTGGCAACGCGGGCGTCACTGACGTGGTGTACGTATAATGTATAACAATAGTGAATTAACGGAAAAACCAAAAAAAAAGTGGTGGTAGCGAATATACAGAAAAGGTCCCGTTTTTCTTATACAATGATATTACCTATATCATGGAATTCAAATTTAATACCATCCATTATACAGTGACCCACTATAGCAGGGGTGGTCAAACTATTGTTTTGATTAAGATATACTGAGGGTATATTTTTTCTTTTAGGATCGACTAATGTAAAAAAATTATTTAATATTAATAATGAACATACTTATATAAATAATAAAATTAAAGTGTTAAGTTATCTAAAATGAGTGTTTCATGTTAAATTTTTAAGTAATTTTAAAATGTATTAACATTTTACTGTTTATGTAGAAGCAGCGTGTCATTGCACATTATGACAAAGCGAAGACGCTGTGCTAAAGTCTAAAACTAACCTACTCAGCTTCTATAAATTATAACTTTCATGTGAGAAAATGCCATTTCACACTAACAGGTTAATCCGAAACATATGTATTTAATAAGTGTATCTACTAAATTGCAAATATATAAGAATAATTAATAAATTCTAACAATGGGGATCGACTTAGAAATCGTCCATGATCGACCAGTCAATCGCGATCGACTGTTTGGCCACCCCTGCACTATAGTAACCTACTGTACAGCAGAGAGACATCAACTTGCCCCCCTTATTTTTGATGTGAAAAATCTAATGGCGCGGTAAGGGAGTGACTTAGACTGTGGCCGGGGCTAAACAAGGCGTATTCCGCAGCGTTTCAAATGCCACGTATTGAAGACGCCATGATATAACTAACACAAAGATGGCAAAGATCTAAAATCCGATGTCGTGCTTGTCTTTACAACTTACTACTAAATAACCAGTGACGTCATAATAATCAACAACTTGACAGGAACAGATATATATTTAATATTTAATTAGAAACTACGGGAACGCACAATTCGAATTATCGGCTGAAAACCAAAAACAAGATGATTGTGAGTTATTCAATTATATTACGTTGACTTGTGGGTAAAAATATTTCTATTTTCTGTAATTTGTGTCTTTTTAATATTCAAGTGTATTTTTTTATTGTTGTTCATTATTGTTCATGCGTTAAGTGTTCGTGAATCGTATCAGACAAATGACCTTGCTCGCATATCTGATAATTACCAACATATCCCTTCTCCAAATACACAAACAAAACAAAACCAATAATCAAACAACAATAGAAATAAACAAATTTTATTAAAAAAAAATAGCTCACAAAAGCAGCTCTCTTATAATTTGAATGCGTATTACAGCGCAGTATTCGTTTGAACTTTCACGAAGGCCACAGGTTGATAATTTTTTCCTACAAGCGTTCGAATCTATAACTGCAGCCATTATACAAGTCGATCATGATGTATTTTCTAATCGACTGGTTACTCGACAACTTCACCTGTGTGAGCTTGATCGCCGTTTTTACGGGATTCTACTATTATTCGAAATCGACGTACGGTAAATGGCAGAAATTGAACATACCATACATACCACCCGTGCCACTGTTTGGCAACGCGTTCAGAATAGTCACGAAACTCGAACACCCGACTGAGATGTATGACAGACTCTACAACCAGTTTCCAGACGTCAAACTGTTAGGATTCTACCAGATGATGGAGCCGATGCTGTTAATCCGGGACCCGGAGCTAATCCACTCCATATTGGTGAAGGACTTCTCGTACTTCACCGATCATGGTTTTGTCATGGACCCATCCACAACTGTGCTAGGCAACAGTCTGTTCTTCGCCAACGGCCAGAGATGGAGGACAATGCGGCAGAAGCTGAGCCCAGGATTTACGTCAGGCAAACTGAAGGACACGTACTTGGCAATAAACGAGTGCAGCAACCAAATGGTGTCTGGCATGGTAGAAAAGCTAGGGAAGACCGACCAACTTGACGTAAAATCTATAATTTTTGGTTTTGCAAATGACGTGATCGGTATGTGCGCGTTCGGTATGCAGCTGGACACGATCAAGAACGAAGATTCGGACTTCCGCCGGTACTCTGAGAGAGTTTTTCAGAGAAACACGAAACAGATTATTGTTCAGGCGGTGACCACAGTCTGCCCCTTGATAGTCAATCTGTTTAAAATACAAATGTTTCCAGCAGATGCTACCAATTTTTTCCGTAAGGTGTTTACCGACGTCATCAATTATCGAGAAAACCATAACGTTGTCCGGAACGATTTGACACAGACCTTGTTACAAGCTCGTAAAGAATTGGTGTTGAAGGAAAACTCGACTTCTGAAGGTATTGTTTTTGAGGGTATAGAATGATAAATATAGTATATGAGTAACATAATTGTAGAATTAAAAATTTTTTTGGTCGGAATTATATAAAATATGAAGCCGATACTTTAAACAAGTAATAAGTGTAATACCTATAGTTCAATTATTTACTTTTAAATTACAGTACAAATTATAATATAGATAAAATTAGGTGCCTACCTAAGCAATAAGTTTATAAAATAAATTGAATTAGGTATCTTATTAAATTTATGAGCTCACTTAAAATTAATGCTAAATAATATAAAATTCTTTGAAAATATATTTAAGTATAGGTAATGCTTAACTGCTTAAGTTATTGTAAAATCTATAAATACAACATACTATAGAATGTACACATATATGTGTCTACTATGTTTATACATTTTATATTCTGAGCGGAGTGATGAATTTATTGATTTTACAATGATGTGTGTAAAAAAACCATTTAAAAACCTTTTAGGACAGTAAAAATGCTGCAATTTTCTTCAACAACATCTTTTTTAGCAGAAAAATGAATCCAGTTGGTACTTTGGGGGAATACCCAATGTTTTTCAAATGCGTCAGGAAACACAAACAAAAAACTAAGGAATTAAAAATTAATTAAATTCAAAAATTATATATACCTATACACAAATTACAGGAAATAGAAACATTTTTTACCCACAAGTCAACGTAATATATAATTGAATACCAAATTGTGCGTTCCCAGTCTGTTATTTGTTTTCTGTGTAGTTAGTTTCTAATTAAATATTTCTGTTCCTGTCAAGTTGTTGATTAACTATGACGTAACTGGTTATTTAGTAGCAAGTTGCAAAGATACGCGCGACATAGGATTTATACGTGTAAAGAGCCAAGCATACCAATTGATCTAATGAAGCGATAAAAATTCTAAAAACAGTTTTAATTTGTCGTCAAAACTACATGAAATCGATTTAACCACATTTTTGAAGTTTTGGTTTTAATTTCTCCAAAAATTTAAATACTTATGACAATTTTTCAACAACTTCGTTTTAATAGGTATAATGTTTTTAAAACAAGGATTCTCATACATATCTCATACTGTAGGTATCTAAAAAATATAAACAAAGTTATTTTTTACCGACATTTTAAGCTAAAATTTGGACGAAATTACATATTAAAAAGAGTAACGGTTTAGTTATTTTGTTGTAGTTTAAAAATATTATTCGTGGGTAATTGAAACTTTTAAAGTATATTATTATATTTTATACACACAATCACATTTTCAAATGTAATTTTTTTCGGCAAAAATGAACTTGTCTTACTTTTGTACTAATGCCTAATAGTAAAATTAACTACTTTAATCACAATAATATCACCAAATATACTTAGTTATATTATAGGGCCTATAATTTATAAATTATAACATAGAGCTACGTAGTACGTATATTGTACTATTATAAGTTAAGACATGTAGTATATTTATGATCACAAAATTACAATTCTATTCTTCGTATAATAGAAGTATACCCACAACCCACCTAATCATTAACCACCCACCCTTAAAATATTGATGGAGCGGCCGCTCCTTAAAAACATTGTCAACACGCCACTGACATAGGCTGACAGACCGTCTTCGCTTTGCATCGTTTTTCGTATAGGTACAATGGTTTTATATCATTGAGTTCAAATTTAACACCATCCATTACAGTGATCCACTGTCATCTACTGTAAATTCAATATACATTCATCGCTCGCTCCGATTTTTTTAAACAAATATAACTAATCCAGAGGCAAGAAGTTTTAACTAGCAATATATCCACTTCCACACTATATAAATTGCACTCGTCTACAACGTTGAAGTACCTAATAGAAAAAATATATATTGTATGGTTTAGAATAAAAGTAACAATACAAATAGATGTAATAATTTAACTTTTTGTTTATTTTACTTTCGTTTTCAGATCAATTCACCGATGATGATATCATCGGTAACGCAATTCTCTTGTTCGGGGCTGGTGCGATAACCATTTCATCTACGGTATCTTTTTGCCTCTACGAATTGGCGTTAAACAAAGAAATCCAAGACAAAATGCGTGCGGAGATATGCTCGATGAAAGCAAAACACGATGGACAGTTAAACAACGATTTTTTGATGGACCTCCATTACACCAACATGGTATTAGAAGGTAAAAAAATTTTCAGAATAATAATGACGTGCTACCTTTCAACTCTATGTGGTTGTTATTACCTGCATCGTGAGGAGTTAAATAATATGTTTATATTCTTCGGAGAACTTGATACACTCGTACTCATATCTAATATTATCATTGTCTTACTTATGCATAGTAATATATTATACCAACATTTGTTTTTAACAGATCTGTACTAGGTAGGTATAGGTATCACTTAATTTTTAAGCAAATTATGAGTGAAAATATTGCCTAAAAATGCTCATAATTCCATTAAAAAGCTTAGCACAACAAATAATATAATTGCCAAATGTAAATTTTGGTCTCTTTTGTCCTCTGGTCTCCACAATAATTAGAGAAATCTGTTATTCTGATAAAATGTTTTATCTTTAAAGGTTTAGTGAAATTATTAATTATTATGTTGTTCTAATCAATACCTATATTATCAAAATCTAGTATCAGCTGAAAATAATTTGCAATATTTTGACATTATCGAAATATAATATTTTCTTCAATAATTTTTTATGAACTTAAAAAAATTAAATAAAAATGTATAACATTTATTTTGCAAGAAATTAATATCACATAACGCAAAATTTATATCGCATTGATATGTTTGATATCTCATTGTTTATCGTATTTTAGAGACTGGGCGCAAATACTCCATTGCGTCAATTTTAATGAGAGAGGCAACCAAAACGTACACTCTACCTGACAAATCATTTGTCATTGAAAAAGGTCAAAAAATGATCATACCAATGTTTAGCATACACCGTGACCCAAAATATTATCCTGATCCGTTAATATTTGATCCGGAAAGATTTTCTAAGGAACAAAAATCTCAACGACTAAATGGCACATACATGCCGTTTGGCGATGGACCTCGAGTGTGCATAGGTAATATTATTATAATTTATTATTTACGTGTAATTCATATTATTTATCGTATATTATATTATTATATATTTAGGTAAACGATTTGCTGAATTAGAAATGAAATTAGTCCTGTCAAATATATTATCAAAATTCGAAGTATTACCGTGTGATCAAACCGAAATTCCCCTCGAGATAACAAGCGAATCAGGAGTAATGTTCCCAAAAAGAGACCTAGTGTTAAAATTTAGACCGATCATAGGGTATGCTGACAAATAGATCCCGCGTCATCGAGATCCCGGTAACCATTCTGATAAGAATTGATACCAGGTCCGAGTCATTCAGATCCCGAGACAAAATGATCCCGCGTCAATTAGATCCACTGACATTTATAGATCCCTGCTTGTTTGACACATCTAGGTACATTTATAACTGGCGGCATTTTTAAAATTCAAGTTAGTAGAGAATTATTTATGCCTTTACAGTTTACTCCCCAACTTCATTAAAAAATAACTTTTAACATGGTTAGTGTCAATAATTATATTATTCTGATTTAATTTTCATTGTAATGATGAGGTCCAAGTGTCACAGTCACTAGATAAGTCCTAGTCCCTAGGGTCTAGACTCCACAATGCACACATTTAACTAGGTATATCGTAATTATCAATCTAAATTTATAAAAAATACTGTACACTATTTTAGATATATAAATTTAAAATACAGAACAAAACCACACACATTTCTTCGTTGTTGTATCCAAAAATTGCAAACCTGCTTTGTAATTAGGTACTTTACTACATTCCTATCTAATTTAAAATTTATATTTTTCTAAAATTAAATAATTAAGAAAAATATATAAGTATATAAATAAAATTAATTTTCCGTTTTTTGGCTGGTATCGGTGCATGAAGTTTTTTTTTAAAAATTATGACGATCCCAAATAATTTGACCTGGGCATTTGCATTTATATAATTTATAACTATTTATTACCTACATTTTTTTCCTGATAATACGTAGAATTTAGATCGACCTCATATACATATTTTTTTATTTTTTTTTTATTAATTATCCCGCAACAACATAGGCCATTGGGAGGGGGGTGAAACTGTAGGTTTTGTGGAACACATGGGTGATATACATATTTTGTAATAGTGCATTAGTAGAATAATTATAGTAGATACTTACCATAAGCTATACAACTCGAGTTCATGATTATTAATGTCTATGCCTATCCATATTCAATTTATGTGTCACATATAAGAGTATAAGACACATTAACTATATTAAACTTTAAGACATAATCAATAGGTACTGCAATATAATACGTTAAAAACTAATAAAAATGTATAATATTATCTGAATCACACTAAATCTTTTTTTTCTTATAAATTTATAAAAATGGGTGATTTTGCTTTAACATTAAATAAATATTTTTTACACATTATAAAGGTAATGGTAGTACATTGGTAATTTGTATGAGCCCTGACGTATTTCACTCTATGAACTACTTTAACATACCTATTGTACCTAGTACCAAAGATTAATGATTATACATACCTAGTATAAATAATAAAAATAATTAATGCTAGTACCTATACCCATTTGTACCTGTGGGTTATGAAAGTGATGCATTTTGACTTTTGAGTTAGTTTACATTAACGTTCATCACCCGACACCCGAGTGTAAGCATATTATTATAGTCAAATATTATGTAATATAGTTTTATCTTTTATATATAGTTAATAGTTATACTATAGCTGACCCGGCAAACGTTTTTTTGCCATATAAATTATATGGTATTAATATACTATTATACTATTAGTATAATTATACTCCTGGCTGATCCAGCGTACTTCGTTGCTCATACAAAATGACAACTCTTTAAAAAATTGTGGTTGTTAAAATCTTTTTGGATGTAACTCGCAGCAGTAATTGCAATTCAGAGACCCTGGTAGGCAATCCTACTACGTCGGATCGCGGACAATGTGCGAGACACGATTAAAGATATACCTTTAATCATGGTGCGACAACATATCAAATAGCTGACACCATCGATGAGCGGCTATAAGTAAAGCGACAATCCGATTTAATGCACGCTTGGTAAACCAACAGTATAACGTACGCAGGATTTTAGTTCGGTTAGGGTTTTATCTGAGTAAATAACTTGCATTATTTTTTACTCACAATGGAGCAGGAACTATTTTTCATGAGGGGTTGTGGCAAAACATAAAACATCCAAAAAATATAATATATTTATTTGTGGATCTATAGATATAACAGAAAACCTTTCTTAATATTTTATTCTTTTAATGTTGATATAGGTAGTTTATTATAATAAAATAATTATATAAATGTATTGATATAATTATAGTATAATATAAATAGTAAATACATTATATTTATACATTTATATATTGAAACGAAACATAAAACATATTTACTTTATACCTGAATTTATATTAAAATGTAACAATATATAAATAAATATTAATTAATTAAATATAAAAAAGGTGATCTGCTGTACTGTATAGGTTACAAGTGTGAAGTGGGTCACTGTATAATGGATGGTATTAAGTTTGAATTCAATGATATAATATCATCATTGTATAAGAAAAATGATTCTGATCGGAGACGGTATATCAGTCTATGTATAAGACATATTATAAACTTATCTATCGTATTAAAAAAAATTTACCTAAAATAGGTTCCTATAATAAATTCCAAATTAATCATATCACAATATCCATTAGGTACTTAAAATGCGTTATACGTCAACAACAAACTCTGATACCATCATAGTCCATACTCAATAGATATATAATAGTGTACTTTAGAAGTTTCAAGTACCTACCCACGAATAATATTACACAATCACAACAAAATAACTAAAATAGTTATTCTAGGTTTTTTATTATGTATTTACGTCCAAATTTGAACTTAAAATGACTATAAAAATAAACTGTGCTTCTGTATTTTTTAGAATTTTTGGTAACAGAATTAAATACTTACGTGGAATCTTGTTTTAAATTTGCAATCCTTAGATATAAAAGTTGAACATTTTATAAATTTTTAACTACAAAATAATTATTCAATTTTAAATTTGATACATTTTGTCAAAATTTGATCTTTAAATGCTTATAAGAAAAAAACTGTGCCTATGTATTTTTAATATTTTTCAACTGCTGTTGTAACAATATATCAGCATTATATTACATTTTTACACTTTTCGGCCCAACAGATAAAACTTTATTGATATCTATAAAAAAAAAAAACTAAAAAAAATTGAAAGCTGTAAATGTCCGTAAACAGCTCAAAAAGAGTCAAAATATTTTCAAAATTGTATGGTGTATAGGAAATGCTAATTATTCGTTTTTGAATTACAACAAAATAAGGAAATCGCTACAAGAGAAATCGAGTGAATGTCCAATGTTGTAAAAATTTGAATTTCAAATGCTCATAAAAATTTAATTTGACATTCTTATAGACATTTTTTTTTTTTGATAAAGGTAAATAATTTTATAAGGAATCTTGTATTACATTTTCAAATCTTAGATTTAAAAAGAAAAATTTTTACGAATTCTTAACTCAAAATAATTTGCTAATTTTCGTGATTTTTCCATATTTTGTCAATTTTTGAACTTTAAATGCTTATAAAAAAAAACTGTGACTAAGGATTTTTAATATTTGTCAATACCTTTGATATAATATACTAGAAGCCTTCTTTTACATTTTCAAGCTTTTTTAACCAACAAATAAAATTGTATTGATATTTTTAGAAAAAAAACTATAAAAAAATGGAAAATGAAAATGTCCCTAAACAGTTCAAAATAAATCAAAATATTTTGAAAATGTTATCGTGTATAGAACATGCAAATATAAACAACCAGTGAAAATTTCACTTATCTACGGTCATTTGTTTTAAAGTTACACCAAAAACCAAAATCGATTTTCTCAAAAACAGATTTTGCGTAAAAATTCCCGCTTTTCCTTAATTTTTCTTTTGTTTTTCACGGCGCTTTTGAAAACTACTAGGCAATTTTTACTTTTACCCCCAAAGTACCAACTAGATTCACTTTCCTATCAGAAAAGCTACTGTCGAAGAAAATCCAAGCACTTTTACTGTCCTAAAACGTGATGACAGACACCAAAAAAATAAAAAAAACACACATCATTGTAAAATCAATAATACATTCATCTTCATCGTTCCACTCAGAATCTAAAATGTATCTACTGACTACTATATACTTTAAGTTATATTGTAACGTAACAATATAATATAAATAAAAATTACTCAATATGTTTTACCTAATAATAAATAATAAATCGATAATAATAATTATAATATTACTTATTATAGGTACCTACGCACATTCATACATTCATGAAAATGAGACCAATTTTGAATAAGTAAACGTATAAATTAAACGTAATTTACGATTGTATACCCTTTAATTTTGATGTAGTAATGGGGGGGGGGGCAAAAGTATACTTTTGCCCCCCCCTTGGATTATATCACGAATGGATCTTCGCAGGAAAAAATTTTTTGTGTCCGTATATAATATTGCCTACATTTAGCCCCTTTTTTGCAGTTATCAAAATGTGATAAAATTGATAGACCGATAACATCATTTTCATTATAAATTATAATATTATATTTTATTATATTAAATGTAATTAAAATAGTTAAATACATTAATAGTTAAGTTAATAAGTTATTAAAAAACACAATATCGTAATTTAAAATTTAATAATATACAATTCATTGAGAATACAGTATAAATGTACAACCTATTTACGTGGAACATTGTTTTAAATTTTCAATCTTTAGCTATAAAAGTTAAATTATATAATTAAATTTTAAATTTGATAAATATTTTCAAAATTTGAACTAATGCCCAGATAGCAATTGTGTAATGATATTATTATTATTACAGTACACAAAAAAACATATTTTAAAACATTGCAATAAAATTATTGAATTACTTACAAACGAATCAAAACCTATGCAAACAGAAGATATAAATACAATTAACATAAAAAAAAATATTGAAAAACAACCACGTTTCTTTACTAAAAATAAAAAAAATAAACTTGAATTTCATCAATTGTCGTCAAGTGAAGGTAATATAATAAGAAAATCCTTACTAAAATATAATACAAGTGTTTTAAACGTTCATTCATATGACGATCATTCTTATAGCCCTAAAAGAAAATGAATTTCTTAATATATTGTTGAACTGTATCTTTTAAATGACGATCGTAAGTGAATAATGAATATT